GGTTTCATATAGTAATGACTAGCAGTTACCCTTTGCTATGCCAGTATTTATATTGCAAATGTAAATCAGATACTGTACTGTAGCTCAAAAGCATTAGTCAATGACAGTAAGAACCATAAGAGTTTTTCATGTGCTCTGTGAATCGGTCGGAACAATGTAGAAATGAGAAAAGAAGAATGTTTGTCATAGGTGCAGTTAGCATTAGCATGGTTGGCATTTGGGCTGCACACGCATGTGCCCGGCCCTAAGCCTTCATCCTAACATGGGCATGTTGGCAGTGCTGCCTGTCTTGTTGTCATCCTACAAACCAGGAACCTACACCATGTGTAACTAAACTGTAATCTCTTTCTATTGAACTAGAGTCCTGGCCTACTTTGTTGCAAGTGTAGTAATTCTGCACATTAATATTTTACTTCTCTTTGAATATGAGGTGTGGCTAAGTGATTTGGAACTCTGTGCATGTCAACAGTAGCTTGCTAGTTTGACAGACTGATACTGCCATTGTGCCCTTGAGCTAGACCCCCACATGTGGTCTAGGGATGCTGGCAGTCCCTGCACTGTGACACCCAAGATTACTCTCATCTTTATATGTGTCTGTGTGTCCCATGGAGAGCAAAACGGTATAGATAAAATATTTTCTCCAGAAATATTTAGAATTTAATAATATTTTGTTTTGAGTAATTTTTCTGCAGATGTGTTTGAAATTTCATAATGGGTGTTGTATCTATTTAAATAAAAATGGTCTTAAATGAAAACAAGATATTTTTATGTTCTTGTAAGCTATGCAGAAATATGAGTCATGAACACACTCCAGCTACTATCTGTCTGTTCATATGTACACGAATAATGAGTTGGTTGTTATTGCTACTGTATATTTCACACTGTATTTCTATCAATGTGGACACTGCACATAGTGTAAAATATTGGACATTTTATAAGTGTATCTCTGTTAATTGTATTGTTTTAATTGGGGGGGGGGGGGGCATTTGGAAGTTGGTTTAATTCTTTCCTGGTTTAAGTTTCTTTCTTGATGCCTCCTGGGGACTGAAGAAATTGGATTTTCCACACCTGCAGGGAGGGCTTATGACTGATTACTTTGCACAAATACTACAGAATTCCTGAACTCTCATTGCTGCTCATTTTTACAATTGTCTTCCAGGTTCGTTTAATTGAAGACAAAGGGAAAATATCTACTGAGGATTAGAGAGCAGCTTTGCTTCTGTGATTATTGTCATTTCACTGATTGCTGTAATGGTTGATGCTGGCCAAGGATCCAGTTTCCAATCTCGTTATCTGACTTTTTTTCAGAGAAAGTATAAAAAATAAAATAATTGTAACAAAATGCATTTTTTTAAATAGGCATCAAATAATTAAATGCGGACTCTTTCTTAATAACCACTTATCAGCATTACCTACTTAATCTTGAGGTTTTTTTTTTAATAAAGGGCAGACTGAAGGGAGAAAGTCTTTACTCAGCAAAATAGTTTTCTGGGCTTAAGTCCACTTGGCATCATTTTTCAGAATAAATGACTCATGTCCCCAGACTTGGGCTGTTGCTTGGAGCCTACACACTGCCCCTAGTGTCAGCAAAAAGTAAAACGCTTTAGAGGCAAATAACCTGCAGTAGTCAAGGAGCCAGCTTGTGTTTTTAACAACTCTCCTGCTTCATATCATCATGGATTTAAGTCAGGCTGTATTTTCCTCTCCTCACAGAAATGACATGTCTTCATTTCGACTTCTGTCTGTATGGGTGTTACGTTTCGCTGTGCATCAGCTTCTGCAGGGCAAACGGTCAGGTGCAGCCATTTCTAACAGGTGCATTGAAGTCGAACCTGTTGTCAGGGTGCACTTCCGTATCTTCAGATGGTTAATTAAAACATATAAACGGCACTCTGTCTTCCCGCATGAAAGCACACAGATTGAATCTAAATTGTTTGTAAACTGGTTGTTAAGTATGGGAATAGACAAATATTGAGCGAATTGAGTGAATAATATTTTCAAAGAATAAAAAATGATTTTAAAATGGCAGAATGGTACTGCGACTAGCACTGCCGCCTCACGTCTTCGGGGTTGGGGAGGGCCAGGGGGTGGGGGGAGTCAGCTGTTTTGAATGCTTGAATGATCAATATTTCTTTCAAATACGTTGCACACCGCTATGCAAATATGACATATATAAAATGTATAATATAAAAAAGTAGTGTACTGTATTTCTTTGTGCACCCCCCCCACCGTTTTGTGTCATGAGATTCATCCTGATTTTATACTGGATAAGTGGCTTGATGACAGATAAATGATCTTGTACCTCGGCATATCTGCTTTTTCTCAAACGTAAACAGAAGTTAAACAGGGTCAATATTAAATGTTTTATGCCATCATCACTTTAGTGTGCCAATTCCATATTCAATAAGAATATCAATAAACACTGTTAAACAATATTTCTACTAAAGCTCAATATTCAACTGATTCACTCAAGCACATGATTCTGCAACACGTTATTTTTACAGGCAAATGATTCCGAAACACATTGTTTTCTGAGGCAAATGATTCTGGAACACATTGTTTTTTTCAGGCAAACAGCACACTAGCTTTCCCTATAACATGTTATTGAAAAACTGGTTTTCATTTAAATGTGTTGTTTCCAAATCAATTTAAAATTTATTTGTGGTGAACCCAAACATACAACATACATGTAAAATGCCTTACCACCTGCTCCTGAGACTACACTTAAAAATTAGAAAGACTGAATAATGAAAAAGATAAAGCATGAAAATGTCAAATTAAACAAAATATGAAAGCAATATATAAATATATGTATTTACATAAGTCAGAAAGATGTAAAATGATGGATGCCTTAAATAGTGCCGTGATAGTAGAGAGTGTGGGTAGGGCCGTGTTTAGGCCCTGGAATTTTTATTTTTTTTATAGCTCCGAACCTGTCCTGCCAACGGAAGGTTACATTCCCCTTTAAATGGTGGGGTCATAGCATAGGTTGGCAATGGTCAGATACGTTCGACCATTTGAACATTGGAATCTGATCGGAAAGTCACTGTATTCACTTAAATGCTGGCTACTTTAGGCTAGCTAGATGTCGATGGACATCAGAAGGTTTTTTTTGTTGCTTGTTGGACCTCTGGAGCAGGAGGGTGCCGTTAAGTAGGAAACAGTTAGTAGTAGCTACAGGGACAGCATGTTTAATCAAATGAGACTGACTTGAATATATTGTCTTTGATAAAACTTGTGCTAAAAATAAATCAAGACTGCTATATATAGGATTGCCAACTTTCAACAGCTGGCTGGAGTGAGATTTTCAATTCGAGACAATTCTGCACGCACATGCATATCCATGTATGTAACAGTTTTATTACCTTGCAAATAATCATTTTAGATTTATAAATAGAATAATATACATCTGCTGTAAGATTTCTTGCACGAGTGTGAGAGTCTGAAAGCATGAGTGTCACACCAGATGCGCGAGGGTCGGCAGCCCTGTATATAACGAGGAGAGCCACGGTCATTGTCAGTTCGAGGTGATAATAGTCTTTGTAGCTTTGCAGATTAATTCCTGTTCTAATGTCGAATATTTAGGAGCTACAAGACTGCCTTTTTCTTCTCAGTGAGGTTGCAAAGAGAAGGGAAGAGAGTATGGAGAGAAGACAGAAGAGGGTATGGAGGGAAGACAGAAGAGGGTATGGAGGGAAGACAGAAGAGGGTATGGAGGGTGGGCATATAGACAACATGCGGGCTAAGCCCCAAACCTTGGTATACTCGAGACAGGCCCCTGACTGTAGGTCACCTCTAACAGAATCCTCATTTGGTATGTGGGAGTAAATATAAATGTTGAGCAATTAATGAGAAAGGCTAATATTACTTAGCCTTTGCACATAAAGCAAAGGGACGAACAGGATGTACTGTACAAAAAAAATGCATGTCTTTAGCAATTATTTATACAACCTAACTCTTGCATGCCACTGCCCCCACTGTGCCTTCGCTGCTGAACTCAAGCCTTTCTCTCTGGCTGTGCTATCAGTCATAATTTATAGTCACTAATTTGAATTGATTTCGTGGCAGTAATGAAATCTGCTGAAGGTGTCTTGTGTGCCGCTGGGGTGGACAGCCTAGGCATTTGTAGTTAAGCATTGCCCCTTAAAGCCCTCTTAATCAATCTAGCGGAAGAGGTACGAGCTAGAAAGGGTTTCAGGCTATAGATTTTGTATTCAGGGACAAAAATTAAATAAGGCTTGCACTGAAATGAAGAAATTGCTATATTATAATTTGTTTTAAAGTGAAATGTCGTGCGTTTCCTAATGATTTCACCATTTTGAAACAAGCAGTTTTGTCTTCTAAAACAAAAATCAGCATCAAAAATATATTATGTATCTGTATATAATAAAATAGCCCTGTAAATGCATTATATACCATACATTAGTCGATATCTTTTACCAGAGGTGGTTTGTTTACCACCCTTAAAATTAGTTTTAGCCCTTGTGCAGTGTACCTAGAGATGCAATTAATGTCTCAAATAAATGAAATTGATTTTCATTAAATCTATGAACTCTACATCCCTACAGTTTTCTTTAAGATAATTTTTAAAACCAGTGCATGTATATATTTATAGAATCACAGTGTACATGGTATATCTAGCATTACAGTTTTGTTTCTTTGCTTGTCTAAGCAGCCGTCTTCCTTGTCGGTACAGCTTTTCCCCTCCCCAAAACAGGTCAATGACAGTCATAAAACATTTATTGACATTGATGAAACTGCGTTATCCCTCAAAGTGTATGTCTGAGGCCATCGCTTTTCCAGTCATTGAGACTATGATTTATGTCTTTTTTTGTGCAATGCTCATTCTGCCCTGTAAGCTTAACTGCGTCAGTTGTTTCATTTGCCATTTGGTGTACATAGAAAAAAAATCTTACATTACTGTATGTATCTACTGCATGTCAAAATGTAATTGTGTAATTTAACTTGTGTGGTTTAACAATCGTGCTGTATTTTTTTAGATGGAAATTACGCCACCCGACCTGGATGACGAGGGGACAAAAATTAGCGTAAGCCTTGAAATTTGTTTATTTTACAAATGAATTACATATTTTTAAACAATAAAAAACCTTTTTGTTTCATTGTGACTTATAACTCACAAACCTGCCAAGGGTGTTGTGCCAATTTGCAGGAGGACTGGATGAATTTTGCTATGAATTTTGAATTTTTTGGAGGTTACTATGCAGGAGCTTCTGAAATTTCCAAATATTTCCTATTTCTGAAGACTTTTCTTTCGAATTGGTTGATTTAAGTCCATTTTTCTTCAGCCAATTAAATGCAAAGAACCACAATTTTTAAGCATGAACAGGTTTATTATTATAATTACATGTCAGCAAAACATTGCAGGTCATAACTGGTTTGCTATTGCTCTTTGTAAACTTCCTTTTGATTGAAACAGTGACTTTCTGCATTTGGTTTCCATGGCACGCAAGGCAAGATTTGGTCCTTTGAAGAAGAAAATAATAATTACCATTGAACTTACTACAAACACTAAAAGGAAGGTTATCAATTTATCAACCAAGCCTGGTTTTATATTTAACAGTAAACAGCCACGATGGGTCAGAAAGAATTAGGCAGGATAAATGTTTTAAAGTTTAACTGGTAGATGATTCTACATGTGTTAAGAGAATAAAAATAGTAAAATAATATTAATGTGCTAAAATGGAAAAACTTGAATGTGTGAGAAAAGAAGGGCGATTGTGTGGAAAAATCGTTCCAGATACGTGAGACTTCCATGAAGTGTGTCAGTCTAGGCAGGTCTGAATTCGCAATGCAAGTTTTTTTATTGTGCATTTTTTAAAATACTATGATTATCGATAATTATCATTCACTTTGCAGGCTGTGGATGCTGTACAGTGCAAGTGATAAAATTAAAAGTACAGTCACAATATATAGAAAATATTTGTGTAATTACATGACATTGTATGAAGATACAAACTATGCAATCAGATACACAGTGGTCCCATGAATCCTATTGTGTTGATCCTTGCAATTCTCTGTTGCCGCAGACCGTAAGGGTGCAAGGAACCGACATCTCTCACAAGCTGCAAGTATCCAGAGTGGAAAAAAGTGACGAGGGTTTGTACGAGTGCCGAGTCACGGACGCCAACTACGGGGAGCTGCGAGAATACAAGGTGCAGGCCCACCTGCACGTGAACGGCACGGCTCAGCTGCGAAACAAGGCGGTGAAGAAAACAGCGCCGCTGCACCTGACGGACAAAAAGCCCCGCAAAGCCAACCACGCCGGGCCTCACGACGGCGCAGGGTCCGAGCAGCGAGTGCGCTCTACCTCTAGCTCTCAGACTAAATCAGCCAAAACAGGGAAACACAGTCACGGATCAGGTAAGTGCATCTGCCAAAGCATATTCGGGAAATTAACATTTCTTCCATAACGAAATGATGGACAGATCCGATCAGTAGTTTTATTTTTCTATTTATTTCATTTTTTTTTTATCTATCTGTCTGTCTATCTATCTATCTGTTTCTTTTTTATTTATCAGTTTCTTTAACTGTTTACCAACTTTACGTTTTTCTTGTCTTTTTGGAGGTTAGTTATAAAATGATCTTACACACGTTGGTCTTGTGCTTCATGTCTAGAGTTTTTCCAGAAAAAACCGTGAATAAAGTGAATAAATAATTGGGTACTCCTGGGCAAAAAATAAATAAATAAATAAATTATGCGCCAAACCCAAATTGCAAAACATTAAGCTTTTAACTGCAAATAATCAGAGGATATTTTGGAAAATTCTGAATACCCAGATATGTGTTATTTTGAATTTCATATCAATCATTTAAATCTTTTTATGACTTTATCTTTTAACAAGACTGTATAAATGAATTTCCCTGTTTCCGGCCTTTTCCCTCACCAGTTCACTGCAGCAACCAGCAGAAATGAGCAAATGGTGGCACTGGGCTCTGGAGAGCATTTTTTAGGTCTTGCTAATTATTATGACCAGTGTTTTGTTGTTAAGCCCATTAAAAGCTTAACATTTTGCAATTTTCAGTTTGGCCCATGTTTTTTGCTCACAAGTATATATATATATATATTTTTTTTTTTTTTGAAGTTTTATATCTGTTATAAAGCCTGATGCAGAGAGACATCACACAAACACATTATCATTGGTTTTAAGTGGTGCAGAAACATGTTCAGTCAAATCGGGACTAAACGAATTGAATAAATATGGTGGCTCTTATAGAAGCCGACCAGGAAAATGCATACAAAGAATTATTCATTGCTAGTTTAGGATAATTATTCACTGCTTAATTTGCTGGCATTCATCCAGCTAAATATTTGGTAAAGAAGCACGTCCACATTTAGTCACATCATTTTTGAAATGGCAAATGTTTTTAGCAAAAGCAAAATGAAATAAGCACCTTGCTTAAGGGGATTACAGCACTGGTCCTCCTGGGACTCTGAACCGGGAGCCTTTAACTAACACATTTTTAATCGCTATGCTACCTCCCGCTATTTGAGGAAAATTTAGCGCTCACTGCTTAAGCATATATTGCAGCACACTGGAGAGACGCGAATCCAGTAATCATTTTCACACATTGACACAGGTGTGACTACTATTGGCTGAGTCTGGAGGGGATTCACTACATAGTGCACAGTTACTGTACATAGTGATTGTAACAATGCTAAAAACTCATGGAGTGGAAATAATTGGAAGTAAAAAAGAGCTACACCACCACATTGAACAGTGGCTACTAGTAGCTGTTGGTGGATAGTGGCTAAATCAGGGATTTGCTTTATACACACACAAACATACAGTGTTTCAGTCATGACTGCTTATTTATGACACTGACGGCCTTTATGCCACAGAAATCCTTCTGTTGCTTTGTATCAGATGGGATAGCCTTCATTCGCATCTTGCATTCATGTGTCTTGGCCATCCAACACCCTGTTAGCGGTTCGTGGTTTTTTCCCTCCTCAGACCACTCTCAGTAGGTACTCACCATGGCTGACTGAAAGCAGCCTGACTGAAGGCTTGCCGTTTCAGAGATTCTCTGACCCAGTCAACTGGCTGTGACGATTTGGCCCTCATCAAAGTCACTCAGATCTTTACTGCTGCCCTTTCCTTTGGCTTCCAACATGTTAACCACAAGTACCAATTAGTGGCTCATGTGTAATATATCCCAGATATTTATTTATACAATTTTTAAAATATAGTCACCCGTATTCATTTCACTTGCTCAAAATGTTTTGCTTATCGGTGTCTATGCAATATTTTAAAGATTAGAATTCTTATGGTACTGTATGTATTTAACGGCTACTGAACCAAATTATACGAGTATTATATTACGTATGTAGAGCATATGACTGTCCATACATTTCTTTTCTGAAGGTCCACACATAGATGTAGGCACTGTTTAGCTATACAGATGTCTTCTGTAAAAAGTGCCTGTTCTTTTAATTATTTTTTTATCATTTTACTGGGTATATTTTATTCCTGCTGTGTAAACCCACTACTGTTTATAGCACATAAACTACAGCTCTAGCACGTAAACTGTACATGAAAGAAGCATCCGTATCATTTTTATAGCACTTCAAGTCCACTGCTTTTTGAGATACATAAATACTTAATGAATAATTCACATTCAAGTGTAACTGCAAATTCTTTGCTCTGCGTACAGCTGCTTAATAGAGAGGATTTTAAAAATGCCCTTCCTTTGAATAAGTATGTATTCACAAATTTAACTGCCCTATCTATAGGTAAAATACATTCAATAAAAATGCAACTGACTCCTTATAATGCAGCATTTTCATAGCTGAACGGATGAATGGAACTCATTCAGTAAAGATCTGATTGCTGTCATCTCTGTCTCCAAGTCAAATAAATCAACAAATAAAAAAATGCAAAAAATGGTCCCAACCACTTAAGCCAATGTGAGGAAATCAAAATTAAGGAAAAGAGTTTGCACAAATGGCTGCAATTCAGTACCCACAAATGCACTTTAGAATCTGACGTCAACATTCTTATAATGTCCTATGATAGAATTCCTTCCACCACCCGCCATGGCCCAGTCGAGCTGGCTAGTATTTGCCAGCACAGAAGCCCAAGAAAGATGGTGGCAGTTTACCAACAGAATATATAACAGAGACAGAAACACATGCTTGGGAAAGCAGCTAAGACATGGATCGACTTACACCAATACCCCAGGCTAAATTCCATTATTGTGGCACTGAAATCTTTTGAGATATTGGAGGGTGGAAAATATGCAACCCTTGTTGTTTTTATTTTGGTAGGTACACATATTTCTCTATCCAAGATGTTCTAAATTCCAATTGCAATGATATTCATAAACAATGTGCGTTCCGTTATAATGCAAATGCGTTTCACTTCAGGCAGTTTGGACTCTTAGCGGATCTTATTTGATCATGTGATTTCCCCCCCCCCCCCATATCTTACGCAACATTCTTTCAATTGCATTTTTCAGCTGGTGCAGTGCGGGTGCTATAGATGTTAAAGCACTGCACAGTTTAATGTTCTGTAAGCAAAAGTCTTTAGGAATCCAACCTTCAGTTCCACCCCCACTAAAAGGTGTCGTGATCCCTTTCTAGACAGGATTTTTTTTTCCACACTCATGCAGTAATTTCCCTTCAATTATTAACACAGAGCTGCAGATTTCATTTGATGTAATCACTTATCCTTTAACTTTTCCTTTAATAGGGGTCAGATTAATTACAGCAATTATGTGCTCACTGTGACAGAGGGTGTTCCGAAGTGAATGCAAATACATTTTCAGTAGACTCTTCATTAATATTTTTGATGACATTATCCAATTAATTCGTTTTAACGTAAATGATTAGGTGCTATTTTGGCAAATAGTCTAATTAAAGGTGTGAGGTATGCATCCTTTTTTTGTTCACATATTAGTGCTAAAAGTGATGCATAATAGACTTCTAATACCTGAGAGCAGTGTGGAAGACAATGGGAGCAGGCATTATAGGCTCTGGTATTGAAGTGACCCTCAAAAATAATTATCGGCCATGATGTTGATGGCTCCCCCCCACACCCCCTTTACTGGAGCTCCTCTGCGATGTCCCTACCCACTTGATCACCCAAGGCCAAATTAAACTTGGCGGAGAGGAACAGCAGGTTACATATAGCTGTTTTAAAGATATTAAGCTCAGCCAGACGGAAGTGCTCTATGACAGTTCCCCTTGGAGAAAATCTGCATGGGCATTCAAATGTAAAATCCACTAAATGTTTTCACATTTGAGTAAATATTTCTCAGTATTTAGTATTTTTATGTGTACATGTTTTTGAACTCTATCTAGAGAGCCTTTCATTTTTGAAAATACGAAGGGCTGTATATATATCAATTTCAGTGTCTGTAATGTATTGGAATTTTATGTTTTACATAGAACTATGCTTAAATTTTAATAGGATCCATATCATTGTGTTCATGGTAGATGCTACATAAACCTGGTTTCCAGACTGACCCTTAATGCTAAAACAAAGTACATACAAAGATCGCCTATGTTTCAAATCTTCCACATTCTTCATAATCGCTCTCAGAAATGTTGGTATCAACAAAATAGGACAGCAGCTGTTGTCCATAGTTGTTGCAGCTAATAATATAATAGCTAGTGTTAATTTAATAACTGCCAATAACATATTAATTGTTCCATTCTTAATGTATTAAAAGTCGATAATGTAATAACTTACCAGTAATTTAATAAAATTTCTAAATTGGCCAGTTATTCCATTATTGATTTCTATTGCAATGTGTTACATCATCGGCAGTTATTACATTAATGGTAGTTATTCCATTATTGGCTGATATGCATGTAAAGCCAATTTATAACAACCAAAAATACCTTTAAAAGGTTGTTTTCTTTGACGCAAGACCGTATCATAAATTTGCTGTGTGAAGTGTCCATCGCTACACTGTTTGTTCAGCTTTTATTGCATACAATATTAATTTAAGAAGACTTTTTATTTATAAAGACAAACATGCATACAAGCTGCATGCATAGGAATGAAAGATATTTGAGTGCTTTCCCTTTAATAATGCATGCCAAAGATCTTACCTCCGATATGAGACCCAGATCCCTACAGGAACACGCTGTAACCATACAAGTGAACGGTCTATATTGCAACTCACTGCCACATGTGAAATTCATGAAGGTGTGCACATCCTCTTGTACAACCTGTGACCTTTTTGTAAAGGCCTTAAAGGAAGTGCACCTGAGAGCCCCGAGATGAGCCAATGTCTTCTGATTTCTTCCACAGGTACGAGGATAGCTGCAAGCCACGGACTTGCTCTGGTGCTTCTCGCGTGTGGCTTTGTGAGGGGAGCTTTGTTGTAGTCCCCAGAGTTGACTCTTTCCGATATCACTTTCTCTTCGTAAAGCTAGAGAAAATCGCCGGTTCTTTCCATGGAACGGACAGCACAGTTGGCCCAGAATTCCAGCCATCGCTCTGCCCCCCCCCCCCCTCCCCCCACCCCACATTCAGATTTCAGACACGAGAAGTAATAAATCTTTACCAGGACTTTTTTAAAAATAAATTATTTCAGAAGTACAGGTACATTAATTGTGACAGTATCCAGAATATATTTAAAACTTGTTTATCTCTATATTGTGGTTATTGTTAAGCTCGCATTTTGCCCAGTTTCTCTTAATGTTGAAGAAGTAAATAAGTCATGTCTACTGTGATTCAGACGGTTTAGCTGTGTAAACTTTTTTTTGTTAAAATATGGATTTTTTTTCTGTTATAAATGACAAATTCTGTAATTCATTTTCATCTTTTCCACATGAGTTTGGTTTTAATTGTTTGTAGGGGCACATTTCCTGATATAATAAATGTCACTTTTCTGTTATAACAATTTTTGGGATAATTTTTTAACGTGTTAATATATCATTAAAATGAAAAGTATAGAAGTACCATTTGCTAGTATTCTGAAGTGTTTGGAATAAATGGGTAACGTGGAAAAGGCTTTGATTTCTGCTCTGACTGGGGAAAATTTCCTGTCCCCCTAAATTTCATGCAAATGTCATTTAATTTATTTGGTAAATTCATTCTGAATCATGATCTTCATGTTTTACCTCTGCTTTGTGAACCCAACCTAAATATCCAGAAGAATATGCTCCCTGCACCTAATTTCCATGACGCTCTGACAATCATGTAACCCCGTTCAAAGGAATATATTTCATGTCGAGTTTTTCATTCTAAAATTAGAAATACATTTCCTCACATGATAGACCGACTTTTTTTAAATATGTTTTCAGGAAACAAATTCCATGGTGGGAATATTGAAAAGAAATTGAAATATCTCTGAGAATGTGTTGGTATGCATTTTACCAGGTCAAATTGTGTACATACATTTAATTCAATTTATTTATATAATGAAAATGGTATCAAGTAAGTCAGCCTGGATAACTGCCATTGGTTGCAGCCCCCACCCTGGTAGTCAGACCATTACTGTACAGTCAAGTATGGCTTCCTGTTTCTTATCTAGTCACCCAAATATTCATTTTCCCTTCATTTTGCACTTTATCTTTCTATCTGCTGTTATTATTAATAACACGTACATATTTTGTATGTTTACATATTACACATACATATGTACACGGAGGACATAAGTACCTTTGAATAAACATAAACATATGATTCATATAAGCAGTGTATACAACACATATATCATAAATAACACATTTGAATTTTAAAGGTAGATAGCTTTATATTAAAAAATCAGTCTTTGACCAGAAGTTATCAGGCATGCCAGAATAAAATATAAGACAAAAATGTTGAAATACTTGCATAAAATAAATTCATGCAGCAATAATTTATGAAGCTCACAAAATATGTAGCTAGTTAGAACAAGGTGAAGTAATAAAAAAAAGGAAAACGTACAGTCCAATATTTTTAGTATATATATAATTATATGTTATGAAAATGAGTTTATTTTTCCAAAGATTAATTTGGACTGAATGACTGACTTATATTAAATAGTACATAGTAACATTTTCTCCCTCTTTTGTTAAAAGCATTAAAAAAAAATTTGGTTTTGATTTGAACTAAGCATTTGATCACGATGTATATTTTGGTAATAAGAAAGAATTAAACTAGAGGAAAATATATAGAGAATGATGTATGCATTGCAGTGTTGGACTCCATTATGTGCTGCTTAAGATGTCTCATAAAATTGGTTATTGTCTTTGATTTTAAAGCCTTTTGATGTCTGTATATTTTTTGTCTGCGAAATGGTTATGTTAAAAATTAAATCTCAGTAGAAAATCTTTATAGTGTTTAGGCTACTGAGTCCATAATTTATTTTCCATCAAAAGTGTATAATAATTATTTAGATTAATTGACTGTCATCATCAGGTCATGACTGTCATGCTGGTCCCTCTGATAATAGCCTTTGGAGAACCTGCAAAATGAATTTCCCCTGCAGTCTTTGCCATATCAGCTCGATTTCCTGATGGGGGCGAGAGGTTCTCATTCAGCTTATTGCACGACCTATTTAAAATCTCCTCTTCTCGTAAAAGAGAAAATATGGCAGTCGATAGTCAACACCCTAGAAAGAACTAGAGCAGTGTTTCCCAACCGGGTCCTCAGGGACCCACAGCCGGTTCGCGTTTTTGCTCCCTCCCAGCTCCCTGCCAGACAGTCCACATTTTTGTTCCGGGAGCTGGGAGGGAGCAAAAACATGGACCGGCTGTGGGTCCCCAAGGACCGGTTTTGGAAACACTGCTCTTGAGTCAGTGAGCAGTGGAAACGGGGTTTGCCTGACCACAAGCAGCAGCACTGGGAGATGTATCACTGCATTTTCTCATACCAATCAGCTGAAATAACATGCATTTTTAATTAGACACCAAGATATGCTAGAATATGACTGTAGGAAGGATCATCAGCTTGTTCATACTGTACATGGACAAACGTTGTCTGTGTACATGGTAAAAAAACTGCAGGCTACTTCATTCATTTTGAAATACTGTGTCTATGGTATATATTTAATTTTGATCACAACGTCCATCACATTTCACCGTGGTGTTGACCTCTGATACACAGAGGGAAAGTGCATCATTGATCATGGTGTAATATGAAACACAATAAACTATTTTGTTAAAACCTATTAATCACATCCCACAGCACAAGTGCTATTTATTGCATTTCAGTGCCTGGTGATTACCCAGCAAATTCTGCATTACGGTTCAGAGAAAATTTCAGTCTGTATCAAAACTTTTGTAAAGAGCAAGACGCCCCTGTGTTTCAGTGAAGACCAAAATCGGTCGGGTCTTTCATACATGTGTGTCTGGATATTCTCACAGCACAAACTTAAGGAAAGGTTTCAAAAATTCTGGCCCTAATGCCAACCAACAAACGATCTTCATGTAAACTTGAAAAGAATAACACCTATACATTCATTGTTCTGTACAAACTTCTGTAAATACTACTGTAAACTTGTAACAATGTGCAAAGCATGTATTTTATATGAAACCTGATTTAAAAGAGGCATTGCCTCGTGTTTAAATGATGTCTTTTTAAATTGTGGGTGGTTTTGTGTTTTGCAGACATAGGAAGCCAGTTATAAGCCCACAGAAGCTGCTTTTTTCTGAAAGCTTTTTGTTCTGTTTTATCTCAGTACTAGTATAAACACATTAATAGAGCTGTGGTGCTGCAGCTGCCTCAGTGTTTTACATGGTGGGACTGCAGTAGTTTGTCATTTCTGAGAAAAGGTCCCAAAGTGTTGCTCTTGGCCTTTAGCTCTGGCCGACAAAGGCGACGCGGAAAACCAAACAAATCACAGGAAATGGCCCAGACACATCGTTTGCATTATGAAAGGGAAGAACGAATTGAAAGGTTATCATTTTTTACAGATACTGTATATGCGTCTAACATCCCTGCTGTACTCAGTCTAATCAAGTGTTCACGAAGGTCACTAAAACGATCCCAGCTATATACAGAGGTTGGGCGATGAAACTGAAACACCTTTTGTGGCCAATACAGCATCAATTCAAGATGCAAGTCCTATACAGTGGCCATGGGGATTTTGAGCCATTCCTCTTGCACAGTAGCCAGGTCACTATGTGATGCTGGTGGAGGAAAACGTTTCCTGACATTGTTTGAACCATTAGCTGAATATTGTTCTCCAGAACGGTTTGGTAGTCCTTGGCAGTGATGTACCCATCCAGCACAAGTAGTGGGCCTAGGGAATGCCATGATATTGCAGCCCAAACTCTCACTCATCCAACCCCGTGCTGCACAACAATCCAGGTGGTAAGCCTACCAGATGTGGGACAGACAGGGAAGCTGGACTCATCAGAGAACAATACATGTTTCACATCGTCCACAGCCCAAGATTTGTGCTGCTAGCACCATTGAAACCAACGTTTGGCTATAGCAGCCCGACCATGAATATTGACCCTGTGGAGCTTCCGATAAACAGTTTTGGCGGAACCAGGTGAATCGAAGTGCACATTTATTTTTGCACTGAGTTGGGCAGCTGTGGTTTTAGGGTTTTAGGCTCATTAAGGCCACACTGGAGAGGAAACGGAAAGGGCAGAGGCAGGGTGTGACGGTAACATGATTTTTGTGTACATACGTACATAGGTAAAGGTAAATTGATAAATTATACATAGAAACACATTACCTACATCAAATACTTATAATAATAAAGTACACTGTACAGGGAGAAGAGTCACACGCTGCCTGCCAATGACCTGCTGGATTTCAGCACTACAGCCTGTTCTCAGTTTGAAACTTATGAACTGTTTGTTTTCCAATTATTTATTATTATTTTTTGCACTGTGGTAAACCGCAGATAACTGAAACTGCAGTTACTTAAACCACAATTACAGGGGTCCCACTATATATATAATAATTTTTTTTTCAGTACAGAGTGAAAATAACATCATTTTGGGGCTGAAATGACAAAAAGTAAGAAGAACATTTTCAAAAGCTAATTTTCCCAGGACAGTTCAGACTTGTGAATGTGTATAGCGTGGAATGTGCAGTGTATACAGTACTACTGTTCCATGGAACAATTTTCTCAATTCAGTTCAACAAAATGACAGGAAGAGAAGAAAAACCATTTTATGAAATTGTCTGGCACATTTTATCCATTCAAAATTGCAGTATATCAAGCCTCCTGGACTCTAAACCATCACAAGGAGTGATACTCAATAAACATGAATGTTCTATTGTACCAAATGGCAGTCACATTCTACCACCGAAGTTAATGTATTGGTACTACTATTGAGATACAGTACAATGAAAAAGCAGAAACAATTATGCAAAAACCCAAATTCAACATCACAATCAAATTAAAGGCCAAATGTCACATTTTTTATTTGTAGTAAGTGGGAACTGTAACAATCCATTATTTACAATTCCTAGACAGTCAAGTCAGGATGGTGAAAAGATACTCTGTGATAATGCATAAAATACTGCCTCAGTTACACGGTAGTAACAGCAAACATAATTCATTTGTAATTCATCATTTTGAGTTCTTAAAAGAATTAAAACTCACATTAATTCAATTAGAGTCACAGAATTACCCACAGCTCTGGCCCTTGTCTTTGATTAGCTTTCTTCAGCTTTTGTTCATTGTCCTAAATTTCGATGGGTATGAGCAGCATATTAATTCTTAGTGCACGTGTGTTGGCTGAACCATAATGTATCTCATTTGGACAAGTATCTGACTGTCTCCATTAATATTCTCCCTGTTTTTTTCTGCAGTTGATAAGCTCTTCCAATTTGTGGTTTTCATCTTCATTTATATTTTTGAATTTTGGACCTAGTCATATTTTTCATAGTCCTGAATGAAATATTGCATGTGTTAATTTTGAATTGTTTGATAGCACAAATGTGCATTTTTTTTTTTATTAGTTTATTTAAATTTTTAAAGAACAAAAATTTCCCTTATGCTATTGTTCCAGTAAAAACATCATATATCAGCCCAATGGATGGATATATGGGTGGATAGAAGTTCATAGTTTTGGTTACTGAACAATCACTGGGTTTGCATTACATCATACAGTATTTGGCAGATCTGGTCAAAGCGCTTGTGACACTCTGGGCAAGCTTGACCGCCGATGATCGCCCCAGTTTCACTTTGTCTTGGACAGTGCACACCCTGGGAGGGAGGGCACAGCTTGCTAAGTTGGTGACCTCTGAGAACCTAGCATTGACCGGCTGTGGTGTTCAGTGTTTCATCAGCATCTCTGCAGAAAACAGCAGCAGTCACACTACACACTGTGCTGATTGTTATACTCTTCACAGTAGTGAAACAGTCATATTGTCCTCTCTATAGAGTGGCAGCTCCGGTTACAACAGAGGCATGATGTTGTGCAATTGCACCCTCCTACCACCAGGGCTGCCCATCTTTAGCCTTTAGCATTTGCTATCAGTAATGAGCCTTGACTGGGCTGTTTTAGAAAGGCATCACACCACTAACGCATGGTACAGGTTTTTTTTTTTTTATCATTGTGGCCATCAGTTAATGATTCTAATCAATGATTTCTTAATGGTTTAATGCAGATTAACATATAGCCTTCTATAGTATAACTTTATTGACCAGTACAAAAATGATGGTAATAACTAAAATCAGGTTAAGAATGACAAATAACTGAATGATCTGAAACAAACACTTTCGTTTTTATGGTGCTCAAACCTTAAATTCATCAGCAACTCAAATGAGGAAATATTATGAAGCTGGCATGACGTCTCAGCAAACACTCACAGCATTTTGTCTTTTTCAGTAATCAGCTAGTATGTACATGTCATTTAAAAGCTTTGAGATTGGAAACTTCTAGTGTTAAATACTTGGAATTAGTCATTTGTTTGTTGGTGGTGGTAATGGCACTTGTGCTTTCTAGATCTAATTATATTAAGATGGATGTAATATGAAATACTTTCTTGAATCGTGAGCCTGTTATTTTTTTTTCCTTATTGTAGAAAACCTTAATGAAATTTGCAGAGATTTTAAGATTAAGATTAATTTGGAATAATATCATTCAGTTATAAACTGAAATCTAGCCCCTCTGCTATTTTCAAGGGAAGGCTCACTATGCTGTTACCAAAAAATTAAATTACGAGTAATGCTTGACATTTACGTTTGCAAATGAGATAAATAACATTGGGGGTTCACATTCATTTATTTTTTTGTAAATTGTATAAGACCATAATAGTGTTAATGTCACAAAGCCACAGACTAAGGTTTCCTACAAATCATCTCTGTAAAACTCCAGTATTGAATTAATCTTAAAACTTAAATCAGTTCTATATTACATCCATTTTTTCAAAGTGTGGTTATTAGCTGCAAGCCTTGCAGTTTCTGCTCGTATATATTCTTAATTAATAAAAAAACAAGCATTATGCCCAAACCGCAGTGGCTCTCATGCAAATGTATATTGATTCAGAACTTAGTGAACATTAAATGGTAACCATTATAGTAACTGTTTTGTGGATACTTGCCTTTGTGTTTATTGTACTCAACAAGCATGGGAAATCAACCAACATGGAATGCTATACAATGGAATCAATCTAAAATCTCCTCAGGGAAGACAAGAGTTTCATCACTTTATTCTCACAGTCTGAGCCATTTAAATTAAAATACTTTA